ATGTCCATCTCACCAAGAACCCTTCTCCATACGTCATGACCCATCATGAAGTCATTAAAGATTCTTCCATGACAAACCTTAAGTTATATTTAAGGGTTCAGAGAAGATGGTGGGAGGGAACACACTCAATGATTTGGTTTTGACCGGTCCGCAGCTCCAGACTGATATTGTGGAACTTATAGACCATTTAAGATGCTTTTCTGTGGCCTTATAAAAATGATTTTTAGGTGTATCCACATTGCCGAAACAAATCAAAACTTACTACGCTTTTTTTTTGGAGAAGGGAATCTTCACAGCTGCTCCAGGAGTATGAGTTGGTTAGCTTGCCATTTGGGTTGAAATGTTCTCCCTTTATTGCTCAGGGAGTCATTCTAAAGTTATTTCGGGAAAGCCATAATTTTCCTAAAGCTGCCCAATGTCATGACCAGATTTATGTAGACAACATAATCACTGGTGCTCGCAACAGTGATGAGGCTCTGGATCTGTGTGAGTTGATGGCCTAAATTGGAGCAGGTGGGTTTCAACTCAAAAAGTTCTCCAGCAATTCCGAAAAAGTACTTTCTGTTATACCCGAGGGTAGTCAAGAAGTTCCGTTGTGCCTAGATGGAGATTCCTCGACTGTCAAGACTTTGGAATCCTAAACTCGCATTTTATGTAATCAATACAGGAAAGTGAGCATATTTTTACAAAGCGAGCTATTCTATCCTTCATTGCCAAAATTTTCGATATAAATGGACATATCAGTCTAGTTATTTTTTCCATTAAATGCATATTACAACGTTTGTGGCTGCTCAACGTTGACTGGGATGATGAATTGCCCTCTAGTGTGTCTCCATTGTGGAAGGTTTTCCTTGAAGAATTTCCCAGCTTGAGAAATGTTTGCCTGCCTCGTTGCATTGTCAGCCAGAATGTATCATCCATGCAACTAATCGCCTTTTCAGACACTTCCGAGAAGCGTTACAGGTGTGTGATCTACCTGAGAGTTGAGTGCCCAGGAGAAGCTACCAAAATTCATTTGTTAAGGGAAAAAAGTAAGGATGCCCCACTTAAGGTTCACTCAGTGCCTCGTTTGGAATTAAATGCTGCTCTTTTTGCCTTCAGACACTTGCGTGCATAGGTAAACTTAAAAGTCATTTCCAAATTGAGGAAGTATATTGTTTTTCGGATTCTCGTAACGTACTGTATTGGTTACAGACACCGCCACATGAACTTAAGATTTATGTTGCCAATCGCGTAGTACAGATTTTGGAAGTAACAGAACCCAGTTGTTGACACTATATTCATACAAAACAGAATCCAGTCGATTGTTTATCGATAGGCCTCACACCACAACAGATACTTTTCCATGAGCTTTATTGTAGCCGAAGTTTTTGAAAATGATCTCCATTGTCAAATGCAGTAGAACTTGAGATTCTTTACTTCTTTTCTGATATACATACATGACTAACTGTTTTAAATAAGTAGCGAGTTATAAAAAAAGTTTTTATACAATACAATACGTCACTCCTATCCTCAGCACCAGTTGAACAACTTTTTTCTTAAATTAAATTATGCATTAGTGTTTAGGGTTGATCACCCTAAATTGGTGTTACTCCCCCTCCCCCTTCATGGGGTACATAAAAGACCAGTGAAGTTGGTAACATTGCAGCGACGGTGGCGCTGTATGCACCAAAAACTAGTAGCAGTGGAGAAAAATGGGCGACTAAAACCACACGGAGAAGAAGACGATCTCTCTTCCCTCTTCAAGATTACCATTCATACGCTGTTCTACCATGGGAAGAGGCATGCAGTAGAACACCGAGACCTACCGGACACATGGAGGTGAGGAATTACTGCAGCCGGCCGACCACCGTACCAGACCAGCCACATCAAGTAAACAATTGTAGAACCATTATACGCCAAACCCCCATCTTTATATACTGTTTAAATATAATTATAATCAATTTCATACAGTCCACTTGTTCTTTCAAATACCCAATAAACATCTGTACCATATCATAATAAAAATGAAGGTACATCCCATTTCAATTAGCTTAATTCTTAAATTATTCAACCATGACAGATCTACTACAAAGTAATAAGTAAGTGATAGACTCTTTGAAATGAGAGTGGTTTTGAAAGCAAATATGACATCTTCAGATTTACAAATGTGAATTAATTGATTTTTCATTTTTTGGATAAAAATTATAATGAATTCCATGTTAAATTATTTTATTTGACGTTCGTAAATAAATTTAAAACAACCTATTGTAAATAATAAATATTGAAATCATTTTATAAAATCTTTTTCTCTGATTAATATCAGACATTTTGTTTTAAATAAAGTAATATAATTTTTTTCATTGAATTAATACCTTTTCCTTCAATTTTAAGAAAAATTTACATAAGAAAGGTCTTAATAATCAAAATATGCTAAATCTAGGGTTATACAGGGGGTTTCGTAAGTGCACGGCACTATTTTAGTTATGTGTTCACTAACACAAAATAAACAAAAAGTTCATATTAACATATATCTCAAACTCATTTATTAAACAGATATCAAAGGTTAAATATTTATTATTTATTTACTACATTAAGACTGACTGTATAAAGTTTAACGTTTAGCAGGTTTTAATCACCTGATTAACAAATGAACGCTAATTCTATGGTTTATTCCATGGCATTAATTGACCATTCCTAGAAAATGTTTGAGCTCCTTTTGGTTACTGGGTGGTTATACCCGGGAGATGGTATCAACTCTGGACGGGTCCGGTTTGACTCCGAGTTCTGATATATGGTGGTCTAAAAATTTAATTTCTTTTTGAAAAAATCGGGATTTTTCTTTCGATAATGAACTCAACCCTAATTCTAGGACGCTCGAAAACTAGTTTTTAGGTGGTCATGGCGACACGATGTAGATGGACTGAAGACGATAAGTTCATCATCCATGTATATCTGGCAATAGTCTTCACCAAGTCCGTAGAGAAATTTATCCATTAACCTTTGAAACATTAAAAGAGCATTTTTAAGCCCAAATGGCATTCTTGTGAATTCTTAATATCCACACCCAAAAGTAAATGCTGTCTTCACAATTTCCTGTTCCTTCATCCGTACCTGATAGTAACCCGAATTTAAATCCAGTGCGGAAAAAACCCGCACTCCGACTAGGCAGTTTAATATGTCCTCTAGTCTGGGAAGAGGATAATGTTCTTCTACAGTATTCTCATTGAGTTTCCTGTAGTCAATCACAAGACGGTATGAAGGGTCTGCTTGCAGCTATCCTGTAACATTGCCTGGTCTTGAGGTTGCATAGGTTGTTTTTGAGTTGTGGCAGTTCGCACGCAAGAAGAGCTAAGAAATCGGATCATGGAAGCCGCAGTAAATATCAAGCACCATCCTGATACTATAGGAAGAGCCAGAGAAGCATGGATTCATTGTGCTGAATGTTGAATTCAACAAAATGGAGGCCCCTTTGAACATTTACTCTAAATGTTGTAATAATAATAAATAATACATCTTTAACCTCTGATAATTGTTTAATAAATCAGTTTGAGATATATGTTAATATGAATTTTTTTGTTTATTTTGTGTTAGTGAACACATACCTAAAATAGTGCTGTGCAATTACGAAACGCCCTGTAGAATTGCAAACATATGATAATAATGATACACGAATAACTGAAATTTCTTAAATTCTAGAAATTTATAGTGAAAACTTGGTAAAATATGGAGCAGGTTTTGATAATAAAGATCTCAAATATATTTTTAAATTAATTTTATTATTCACAGAAAATTATACGAATTATCATCAAATTTATGTGATTAATTAATTTAATTTTCAAACAAATTAATGGGCATAAATATACCTATAGATATGATTAAATATAAATATACGGAAGAAATCCAAAAAGCCAAATTTAATCAAAATCTAGGGAAACCTTAAAATAGATATCTTTTCAAAAAACTATGTCTCCAAAAACATATTAATGGACCCTCATATTGAAGAAATCCGAAAAACTCAAATAAGTCGAAATACAGTGGTGTAATCTTTAAATGGAAATCATTTTCTAAATCTACGGTTCCGAAAACATATAAATAGACGCTTATATAGAAAAAATCCAAAAAACGTAATAAGTCAAAACGCAATGGCATCTTAAAATGGAGGTTCTTTTAAAAAACTGTGGCTCCAAAAACATATAAAAAGAGCCTATATTAAAGAAATCCGAAAAGTATCAAAAGCACAATACACAACTGCGCAATCTTAAATCCGTCAATATTTTCATAAAAACACCCCCCCCCCCCCAATAACATATTAGTGGACTTATATATCGAAGAAATCCAAACATATAGGAAACTTGATACTCAATTACGATATCTTAAATCTGACAGAATTTTCATAAAAAGCACCCCCGACAACATTATACTGGACCTTTATATGGAAAAAAAATCCTTAAAGTTACAAAAAAATTATTTGAATCATATTTGTATCTTAAATAACCAATAATAGATATTTTGTATATTTTCAGGTTATCTATAAATAACGAACAAAAAACAATTATTTGTCCAAAGGTCATCGAATAAGTTATAACGAATACAAATTTATCTATTATTCGTTATCTAGATGAAATTTTGAATAGCTCCCAACACTGCTACAGACTAATAGATATGAAACCAAATTTGTTTCTTGATGTCAAAATGTGAGCAGAAATTTTGAATTCTGAACACAAATTTTTTTTTAACTTTCCATTTGAAAAAAAAGTTTCCTTACATTAGGCAGGAAATGGATACCTTTTTCCTATTATTTATTTTTTTTTTCATTGTTTTAGTAATGCACTTTTGGAAAATTTTCTGAATTTATGATGAGTTTGATGAAAATCCCTGACTACAAACTGTTATTCTAGAAATTGAAAATTCATGATAATTCCTGTCTCTGGATATAATGTACAACAAATACTCCAAATAAAGGCTATACAGTTGATATAAATATATTTTCTAGTTATTGTTAATACAAAAAAACTTGCCTCAGTGAATGAAACAGCTGCTTCTCTAAGTTCATAACAATTTCGTGATTCAGCAAACATAGCAATGCCAATGCAGTTGTTTGGATCTAATTGCTTTCTAAGAAACATGGTGCAAGCTTCAATTACATCTCCAAATCTTAGTAAAACTGCTGCAGCAAGAATATTTTCAACACTATCTTCTTTTAGCTCTATACAGCCAGTGTATGCAAATGTAACCAAATCATTTAGTGCTTCCCCATTAACATCATGAAGTTCCACTTCCTTAGCCCTGGATTCCAATAGATCTGAATTGAACATAGCTGAAAAGTATTCAGAAACTGAAGCCAAGACCAACTTGTGAGTATTTATTTTTGTATCTCCTGAAAAAAATTAGGTTTTTGAAAAAACAAATTATAATCCATAGTTTTTGAATACAAAAACAGCCAACAATTTTCATTATTTAAAATAATTGTAGACAACTAGTTCATAAAAAATGGAAAAATTCAGTTTTCGGTAGCCATAATGCTGAAAACAGGACTACCGCTGATTAATTTTCAGTACCCCTCCTAGTCCTAGTTTTCAGCCAATAATCATTTTATTTATGTCACTTCTATTTTAATAGGATTTTTAGTCAGTTAATGCATAATCTTACACAGTTCCCCATTAAAAAAATAAAAATAAATAAAAATTACAAAAAAAATAGAAATTTCTACTTAAAAGATAAAATCAGAACGTGTATAACAGCAACAGGCACAAATGAAAAACCAATTAATATAGCATTTCCAAGTCAATTTAAACTTTTTCCAAATCAAATTCAACCTTTTCCATTTCAAATTCAACCATTTCCAAGTCAAACTCAACCTTTTCCATTTCAAATTCAACTTTCAATTTTATATTTTTTTCGGAATGAAGGCCACTTATATAGCATTTCCAAGTCAAACTCAACCTTTTTCATTTCAAATTCTACTTTCAATTTTATATTTTTTTTTGGAATGAAGGCCACTTATATAGCATTTCCAAGTCAATTTCAACCTTTTCCAAGTCAAATTCAACCTTTTCCAAATCAAATTAAACTTTTTCCAAGTCAAATTCAACCTTTTCCATTTCAAATTAAACCTTTTCCATTTCAAATTCAACCTTTTTTTTATTTATTTAATTATCTTTAATTTTTCGATGTGTGGGTCTGTTATCGTATGAGTAGTTTTTGAAAATAACCGCCATTTTAAGATTACGTGACTGCGTTTCGAATTATTTAAATTTTTTTCGATATAAGGGTGTATTTTTATGTTTCCCGATCTGTAAATTTTGAAAATGACATCCATTTTATGTTTACGCCACTGTGTTTTGACTTATTTAAGTTTTTCGGATTTATTCTATATAAGGGTGTATTCTTATGTTGCCGGAACCATAAATTTTGAAAATTACCTACATTTTAAGATTACGCCACTGCGTTTCGACTTATTTAAGTTTTTCGGATTTTTTCCATATAAGGGTGTATTCTTATGTTTCCGGAGCCGTAAATTTTGAGGCATTTAAGACCCTGAATATTAGAGCCTTGGATGATCCAGAAAAGAGGTTCTTCTACACGAAGAATTTAGAAGATAAATTAAGAGCAACAACTTTCAACGGAGACGTAGAAGGTATCTGGAACAAATTAAAGTCATGTATTCTGGAGGTTGTAAATGCTCTCGTTCTTGGCAGTGACATGTTCCTGGATTTTCGGAGAATTGTTCCTGAAAATGTTGTTTCCATCTGTTCAGGATCTCTTCCTTGTCGGTAAGCAGGGATCCATCGTTATCCTTTACATTTCTGACGGGCTTGTTTTTCTTTCCTCTTAAAAATTGAATTTTTTGCCAAAAAGTTCTTATGGATTCACGATGTTCTTCTCTCAGTTTTTTAACGAAATCCTTCCACAAACGTTTCTTGGCCTGGCTAACGGCTGCCTTGCATTCATTCCTGGCTGTTCGGTAGTTTTGTAGCTTTTCCTCGTTTCTATCTTGAAGGTATGCTTTCCAGGCAAGCTTTTTCTGAGCAACTATTCGTTGAAGGTCCTCGGTCCACCAGTCCGCTTACCAGATACCTTCCTCTTCCCATATACAGCATTCACAACCTCCAGAATACATGACTTTAATTTGTTCCAGATACCTTCTACGTCTCCGTTAAAAGTTGTTGCTCTTAATTTATCTTCTAAATTCTTCGTGTAGAAGAACCTCTTTTCTGAATCATCCAAGGCTCTAATATTTAGGGTCTTAAATGCCTCAAAATTTACGGCTCCGGAAACATAAGAATACACCCTTATATGGAAAAAATCCGAAAAACTTAAATAAGTCGAAACACGGTGGCTTAATCTTAAAATGGAGGCCATTTTCAAAATTTAAGGCTCCGGGAACATAAGAATACACCCTTATAATAAATCCGGAAAACGTAAATAAGTTGAAACGCAGTGGCGTAATCTTAAAATGGACGTCATTTTCAAAAATTACTCATACGATTACTGACCTATACATCGAAAAATTAAAAATAATTAAATAAATAAAAAAAGGTTGAATTTGAAATTGAAAAGGTTTAATTTGATTTGGAAAAGGTTGAATTTGACTTGGAAAAGGTTGAAATTGACTTGGAAATGCTATATCATGGAGAAAAAAAATGCTATAAAGGTAAATAATTAAAATATAATATGACGTACACTAAGAAAGATGTGTATAATAAGTTATCAAATACTTTGAACATAAACAGTGCAAGCAAGTTTTATTCCTGCAAGACTCTCCAATATTGAACGGGCAATTGTTAATACTTAAAACAGGCTCATCATTCTTCACTATGGATGAAGAAAAATAGATTTCTTTATGGAAGACTAGATTTGCAGAAAAGTTCAGGAGTTTATAAAATCTGCAAGAGATAGAAAATTTCTTTTACATGTGGCAGACTTTGTACGCAATTTGGATTCTACTTAACTAGGCACTGCTATCATCACTAATATATTAAATACAAATGCTACATCTAGAGTATCAAAGAATAAATAAAGGAAGAAGGCAATTGCAATATTTTTCTCCATCCCGAATAAATGTTGATTTCCTACAGTACCTGAAAATGGGTAGGGAGGTGGCGGCCCCATCACCCGGTAATTATACCGCAATCAGCCACTGGTCCTCCTGGTTGGGGAAACAGTACACTGAAACTCACTGACGGGGGAGCAAGTCAGGATGCTATAAGGAGGCAGCCCCTTCACCTGACTCGGGGGCAGAAGGCCAACAAACCACTTCCCTTAAATATTTCATGTTACGAATCTCTTAAGAAAAAGCTGGACTGCCTTTAGTGAACGACCTAGGCAGGTCAAAGGATCTTGTATATGGTTAATGTTGGGGACATGGAATGTGAGAGGATTGGCGCAGGCCAACAACCCACTTCCCTTAAATATCTCATGTTATGAATCTCTTAAGAAAAAGCTGGACTGCCTTTAGTGAACGACCTAGGCGAGTCGAAGGATCTTGTATATGGTTAATTTTGGGGGCATGGAATGTGAGAGGATTGGCGCAGACCGGAGCAAGCAGGAATCTGGAGGGTGCATTGCTTCAATATGGTGTGGATGTTGTGGCGCTTCAGGAGATAAAATGGAGAGGAAAGGAAATAATTGATTTGGAATCATATATGATAATAAACAGTGGACATGAAAGGAATATTCTGGGAACGGGCTTCATGATCAGGAAATCTCTGAAGTGTTTACTGTTGGAATACAAGATGGTTTCGGAAAGAATATGTTTGATTTGACTAAAAGGAAAATTATTCAATACTTCTATCATCAGTGTACATGCTCCAACAGAGGACAGTGAAGAGGAAGAAAAGGAAGACTTCTATGCAAGACTCTACCAAGAATATGACTTTTTACAGCATCATGATGTTAAAATAGTTATGGGTGACTTGAATGCAAAAATTGGAAAAGCAGAAGTCTTTCGGCCAACTATCGGTATATTTAGTAAACATAAACTATCCAATAATAATGGAATTAGAAGTATAGAGTTCGCCCAAGAAAAAGGTATGGTGATCAAAAGTACACGCTTCCCTCATAAGGAAACCTGGATATCCCCAGACGGAAAAAGTAGAAATCAAATTGACCACGTTCTCATTGATTCTAGACACTGTTCTGATATAAATGTCATGAGAAGTTATCGAGGAGCAGACGCTGACACTGATCATTTCTTGGTTAAAGTACCTTACAGACAGAGAATAGAATGCAATGTCCGAATAAAGGGAAAAAGAACTATCAGGTACCAAAGCGGAATTTTAAAAATACCTCAAAAAGCTGAACAATTTAGAAATTGTTCAGGAATCATTTTTAAAGAAGTGTGATGAAAATAAGGAAATAATCAGTTATTGGGAAAGGATTAAATCATCTTTAAACAAGGGGGCCGAGGAGATTTTGAAGACAACACAGATAAGGGCGAGCAAGGAATGGTACGATGAGGAATGCGATCGGGCACTTTGGGACAGAAAAGAAACGAGATTGAGATTTCTTACTGTGGGTACAAGAAGAAATAGGCAGGAGCATACCTCAATGAGAAGGATCGCAAAGAAGATATGTAGACAGAAGAAGAGAAATTTAAAAAAAGCTAACTTGACATGCTCCAAAGCGATTTTGATTCAAAACTTACAAGAAAATTCTACAAAGGTGTGAAGGAATTCAAGAATGGTTTCCAAACCAAAATGACAATATACAAAAATAAGAAAGGTGAACTTATCAGCGATCCATCAAAAATCATGGAGATGTGGAGAGTGTATTTTAATGATTTGTTAAATGTTGAACAACCAATCCCAAGCTGAGTAGTGCGAAAATAGCCTAGAGTAGAACAGAAGGAAGTTAACAACAGTGATGTAGAACCTCCAGATTATGAAGATTTTTTAGATATAATAGCCGCATTGAAGAATAATAGATGTCCTGGTCTGGATAGTATAGATGCAGGGATGGTGTAAAGAATTGCGGAGAGCCTTTGTTAAGAGAGATCTACAACCTAATGATGGAAGTCTGGATAACAGAACACATGCCTAAAGAATGGACTACTGCTATCATATACCCTGTTTTCAAAAAAGGAGAAAAAACAAACTGCGACAATTATAGAGGCATTTCAATGTTAAATACAGTATACAAAGTATTTGCAGTTCTTTTGAATAAAAAAGTTCAATTTTGGTCCGAAAAGTTTTTGGGTAAATACCAGTGTGGTTTTAGACCTAGTAAATCAACTATAGATCACATTTTCTCGATAAGGAAAATGTTAGAAAAAACATACCAAATGGAATTACATCATGATTTCAGATATTTTAAACAGGCATATGATAGTATAAGCAGAGAAGAATTACTGAAGGCAATGACAAAATTAGGGATTCC